GCAAAACCAACCCCATGACTGCGGACGAGTGGATGCAGGTCCGCGGCCAGAGCGTGTCAGCTACCAAGAACGAGATGGAGCGCATTGTGGAGAAGTCGACTGCCGTGGCCACATCCAAGTTTGAGATGACCTGGACGGCCGACGAGGAGCTTTTGGCAAGCTCCAAGAAGCCAGCTTCTGGCGGCATGTCCTGCCTGCGCTATGTGGGCTTCTTGCTGGCAGCCTTTTCTGCTGTCATGGCCTTTGGAGGTGATGCCTGGAAGAAGCTTTCGGTGGCCAGGAGGCACAACACCCTCCTGCCCTGCGTCCACAAGCAGCATGCCTGCTGAGTGCACAAAGTGCAGGGCTGGCATTTTGGCGAGGCCTTTGAGCCAGTCTGGATCCCTTCACCTGTGTCGGAAAGCGGCACAGGGCTTGCGAACCTCTGCGAGTGACGAAGGTCTTCTTGGCTGAGTTGTGTAAAATGCGCGCTAGCGGCAGTGAGGCAAGCGCTTTGTGCAAGATCAATGTGAGCTTGAAGCTTGATGAAAGGCCTTGGGATGAAAGGTTCAGGCAATCGGCAAGGTCAATTTACCATTGCACGAGCAGCTTGCATTGCAGTTTTGACACTGGCCCCAATGTGCACACAATGCCCCATTCTTGATCAAAAACAAAGGTGCCCCTTTCTTTAGCGTGATACTTGACGGCCATGGACACTTATGTTTGAAAGCTTGCATTCCTTTTTGCAACGGGTTGGTATTTCCGCAGCATTGCCTCTCGCACTTGAGGTAGTCCCAACTAGCTTGTTGAGTTCAGGCCCTTCATATTCGCGATGGCCCTTCGCTTTTGCCTTGTCCTTGCACTCTTCGGCAGTGTGGATGCCAGCCTGCGCGGAAAGCTCCATGCGGCGGCAGGCACCATGAGCGCCGAGCAGCTTCGGGAAACCGTGCTGCAAGAAGTCATGGCCGCCCTTGGGAGCGGCAACCGAGTCACCGAGCAGCGTCTCAAAGTCATCGAGGATGCTGCTCGTCCCAGCTTCGAAGCCATGCCCAAGAACGAGTTCGGCAACTTGGAAGATGCGGCTGCCAGGTATGTGCTTCATCGGCTCTTTGTGCAGCGGCATGCCATGTACATCAAGGGTCTGGAGGCCAGCGGAATGGACTGGAAGAACATGTCGACTTCAGAAGTGCTTCAAGACCACGTTCCCTCCTTTGTGCTGTCCTTGTTTGAAGACCGTCTCAAGGGTCAAGGGCTTGGGTTGCACGAGCTTACCGTCCTTGCAGCCACCCTTGAGCATCTGATCCATGACGAGGCAGTCGCCAGACTCTCGGTCGTGTACCAGGCACACAATGTCTCCCAGCAGGATCGGGTGGATGAGAGAGTGATGCAAGAGCTGATCGACACCTACATGACCATCTTTTTGGTTGGCAGGCAGGACATCACTGCCTCGTCCGTTGCTGATGAGCGAGCGGCGGTGGTGGAGTCTTACCCTGGCTGGCATGACACTCAGAAGTTTACCATGCAAGTGCGATCCAGCGTGGTTGCTGCGCAGGCAGCCGATGCTGAGTTTTCCCCGGGCAATTTGAGCTTCCGAGCAGCTACCGCAGTTGTGGAGGAGATCGGGGAGCGCTATGGCCGCTGGCAAGATTCTGAGTGCCGAGATCTCAAGAGTTTGCTGACCAAGATTGAGCATGCAGGCAGCGGCAGGGTGCTCTTGAAGGACTTCTATGGGTCCGCCTTGAACGGGAATTGGCAGTTCTCTGAGAGCGTGAACTACCTGAGAGAGCTCGGTGCCCTGGACGAGTCTGACCCTGCCAATCCAGCAGTTCTGATCCCCAACTATGTGAACTCGCAGTCGAACTGTGTGGCCTCCAGCAGTGTCTACTCAGTTTGCTGCATCAACGAATGCGAAGCCCTGCTGGGCCACCTGGAAAGGCGCGTGGCTGCTCCTGAGGCAAGCCCTGAGCAGATTGTGTCTCTGGTGTCTGAGCTGCCGTCTGCCACGGTGCCGGCTCCCAGAACGCTGCCAGACAGCCTGAAGAGCCGCATCAATGAGGTGGCAAGCCACCACGATGGCAAGGTGCCGTTGCACGGGCGTTTGTTCGCCCAGTGGCTGCACCACGCTTACCCAAGGGAATGCCCTTTCCCGCACGTTGCGGGCAAAACCAACCCCATGACTGCGGACGAATGGATGCAGGTCCGCGGCCAGAGCGTGTCAGCTACCAAGAACGAGATGGAGCGCATTGTGGAGAAGTCGACTGCCGTGGCCACATCCAAGTTTGAGATGACCTGGACGGCCGACGAGGAGCTTTTGGCAAGCTCCAAGAAGCCAGCTTCTGGCGGCATGTCCTTCCTGCGCTATGTGGGCTTCTTGCTGGCAGCCTTTTCTGCTGTCATGGCCTTTGGAGGTGATGCCTGGAAGAAGCTTTCGGTGGCCAGGCGGCACAACACCCTCCTGCCCTGCGTCCACAAGCAGCATGCCTGCTGAGTGCACAAAGTGCAGGGCTGGCGTTTTGGCGAGGCCTTTGAGCCAGTCTGGATCCCTTCACCTGTGTCGGAAAGCGGCACAGGGCTTGCGAACCTCTGCGAGTGACGAAGGTCTTCTTGGCTGAGTTGTGTAAAATGCGCGCTAGCGGCAGTGAGGCAAGCGCTTTGTGCAAGATCAATGTGAGCTTGAAGCTTGATGAAAGGCCTTGGGATGAAAGGTTCAGGCAATCGGCAAGGTCAATTTACCATTGCACGAGCAGCTTGCATTGCAGTTTTGACACTGGACCCAATGTGCACACAATGCCCCATTCTTGATCAAAAACAAAGGGTGCCCCTTTCTTTAGCGTGATACTTGACGGCCATGGACACTTATGTTTGAAAGCTTGCATGCCTTTTGCAACGGGTTGGTATTTCCGCAGCATTGCCTCTCGCACTTGAGGTAGTCCCAACTAGCTTGTTGAGTTCAGGCCCTTCATATTCGCGATGGCCCTTCGCTTTTGCCTTGTCCTTGCACTCTTCGGCAGTGTGGATGCCAGCCTGCGCGGAAAGCTCCATGCGGCGGCAGGCACCATGAGCGCCGAGCAGCTTCGGGAAACCGTGCTGCAAGAAGTCATGGCCGCCCTTGGGAGTGGCAACCGAGTCACTGAGCAGCGTCTCAAGGTCATCGAGGATGCTGCTCGTCCCAGCTTCGAAGCCATGCCCAAGAACGAGTTCGGCAACTTGGAAGATGCGGCTGCCAGGTATGTGCTTCATCGGCTCTTTGTGCAGCGGCATGCCATGTACATCAAGGGTCTGGAGGCCAGCGGAATGGACTGGAAGAACATGTCGACTTCAGAAGTGCTTCAAGACCACGTTCCCTCCTTTGTGCTGTCCTTGTTTGAAGACCGTCTCAAGGGTCAAGGGCTTGGGTTGCACGAGCTTACCGTCCTTGCAGCCACCCTTGAGCATCTGATCCATGACGAGGCAGTCGCCAGACTCTCGGTCGTGTACCAGGCACACAATGTCTCCCAGCAGGATCGGGTGGATGAGAGAGTGATGCAAGAGCTGATCGACACCTACATGACCATCTTTTTGGTTGGCAGGCAGGACATCACTGCCTCGTCCGTTGCTGATGAGCGAGCGGCGGTGGTGGAGTCTTACCCTGGCTGGCATGACACTCAGAAGTTTACCATGCAAGTGCGATCCAGCGTGGTTGCTGCGCAGGCAGCCGATGCTGAGTTTTCCCCGGGCAATTTGAGCTTCCGAGCAGCTACCGCAGTTGTGGAGGAGATCGGGGAGCGCTATGGCCGCTGGCAAGATTCTGAGTGCCGAGATCTCAAGAGTTTGCTGACAAAGATTGAGCATGCAGGCACCGGCAGGGTGCTCTTGAAGGACTTCTATGGGTCCGCCTTGAACGGGAATTGGCAGTTCTCTGAGAGCGTGAACTACCTGAGAGAGCTCGGTGCCCTGGACGAGTCTGACCCTGCCAATCCAGCAGTTCTGATCCCCAACTATGTGAACTCGCAGTCGAACTGTGTGGCCTCCAGCAGTGTCTACTCAGTTTGCTGCATCAACGAATGCGAAGCCCTGCTGGGCCACCTGGAAAGGCGCGTGGCTGCTCCTGAGGCAAGCCCTGAGCAGATTGTGTCTCTGGTGTCTGAGCTGCCGTCTGCCACGGTGCCGGCTCCCAGAACGCTGCCAGACAGCCTGAAGAGCCGCATCAATGAGGTGGCAAGCCACCACGATGGCAAGGTGCCGTTGCACGGGCGTTTGTTCGCCCAGTGGCTGCACCACGCTTACCCAAGGGAATGCCCTTTCCCGCACGTTGCGGGCAAAACCATCCCCATGACTGCGGACGAGTGGATGCAGGTCCGCGGCCAGAGCGTGTCAGCTACCAAGAACGAGATGGAGCGCATTGTGGAGAAGTCGACTGCCGTGGCCGCATCCAAGTTTGAGATGACCTGGACGGCCGACGAGGAGCTTTTGGCAAGCTCCAAGAAGCCAGCTTCTGGCGGCATGTCCTTCCTGCGCTATGTGGGCTTCTTGCTGGCAGCCTTTTGTGCTGTCATGGCCTTTGGAGGTGATGCCTGGAAGAAGCTTTCGGTGGCCAGGAGGCACAACACCCTCCTGCCCTGTGTCCACAAGCAGCATGCCTGCTGAGTGCACAAAGTGCAGGGCTGGCATTTTGGCGAGGCCTTTGAGCCAGTCTGGATCCCTTCACCTGTGTCGGAAAGCGGCACAGGGCTTGCGAACCTCTGCGAGTGACGAAGGTCTTCTTGGCTGAGTTGTGCAAAATGCGCGCGAGCGGCAGTGAGGCAAGCGTTTTGTGCAAGATCAATGTCTGCTTGAAGCTTGATGAAAGGCCTTGGGATGAAAGGCGCAGGCAATTGGCATGTCAGATCAACTTTCCATTGCACAAGCAGCTCGCGCTGCAGCTTCGGCACTGGACGGAATGTGCACACGATGCCCCATTCTTGATCAAAACAAAGGGTGCCCCTTTGTTTCGCATGATGCTTGACGGCCATGGACACCTATGTTTGAAAGCTTGCATGCCTTTTGCAACGGTGTGTTGTTTGTGTTTCCGCAGCATTGCCTCTCGCACTTGAGGTAGTCCCAACTAGCTTGTTGAGTTCAGGCCCTTCATATTCTGAGCGATGGCCCTTCGCTTTTGCCTTGTCCTTGCACTCTTCGGCAGTGTGGATGCCAGCCTGCGCGGAAAGCTCCATGCGGCGGCAGGCACCATGAGCGCCGAGCAACTTCGGGAAACCGTGATGCAAGAAGTCATGGCCGCCCTTGGGAGTGGCAACCGAGTCACTGAGCAGCGTCTCAAGGTCATCGAGGATGCTGTTCGTCCCAGCTTCGAAGCCATGCCCAAGAACGAGTTCGGCAACTTGGAAGATGCGGCTGCCAGGTATGTGCTTCATCGGCTCTTTGTGCAGCGGCATGCCATGTACATCAAGGGTCTGGAGGCCAGCGGAATGGACTGGAAGAACATGTCGACTTCAGAAGTGCTTCAAGACCACGTTCCCTCCTTTGTGCTGTCCTTGTTTGAAGACCGTCTCAAGGGTCAAGGGCTTGGGTTGCACGAGCTTACCGTCCTTGCAGCCACCCTTGAGCATCTGATCCATGACGAGGCAGTCGCCAGACTCTCCGTCGTGTACCAGGCACACAATGTCTCCCAGGAGGATCGGGTGGATGAGAGAGTGATGCAAGAGCTGATCGACACCTACATGACCATCTTTTTGGTTGGCAGGCAGAACATCACTGCCTCCTCCGTTGCTGATGAGCGAGCGGCGGTGGTGGAGTCTTACCCTGGCTGGCATGACACTCAGAAGTTCACCATGCAAGTGCGATCCAGCGTGGTTGCTGCGCAGGCAGCCGATGCTGACTTTTCCCCGGGCAATTTGAGCTTCCGAGCAGCAACAGCAGTTGTTGAGGAGATCGGGGAGCGCTATGGCCGCTGGCAAGATTCCGAGTGCCGAGATCTCAAGAGTTTGCTGACCAAGCTTGAGCATGCAGGCACAGGCAGGGTGCTCTTGAAGGACTTCTATGGGTCCGCCTTGAACGGGAATTGGCAGTTTTCTGAGAGCGTGAACTACCTGAGAGAGCTCGGTGCCCTGGACGAGTCTGACCCTGCCAATCCAGCAGTTCTGATCCCCAACTATGTGAACTCGCAGTCGAACTGTGTGGCCTCCAGCAGTGTCTACTCAGTTTGCTGCATCAACGAGTGCGAAGCCCTGCTGGGCCACCTGGAAGGGCGCGTGGCTGCTCCTGAGGCAAGCCCTGAGCAGATTGTGTCTCTGGTGTCTGAGCTGCCGTCTGCCACGGTGCCGGCTCCCAGAACGCTGCCAGACAGCCTGAAGAGCCGCATCAATGAGGTGGCAAGCCACCACGGTGGCAAGGTGCCGTTGCACGGGCGTTTGTTCGCCCAGTGGCTGCACCATGCTTACCCAAGGGAATGCCCTTTCCCGCACGTTGCGGGCAAAACCAACCCCATGACTGCGGACGAGTGGATGCAGGTCCGCGGCCAGAGCGTGTCAGCTACCAAGAACGAGATGGAGCGCATTGTGGAGAAGTCGACTGCCGTGGCCACATCCAAATTTGAGATGACCTGGACGGCCGACGAGGAGCTTTTGGCAAGCTCCAAGAAGCCAGCTTCTGGCGGCGTGTCCTTCCTGCGCTATGTGGGCTTCTTGCTGGCAGCCTTTTCTGCTGTCATGGCCTTTGGAGGTGATGCCTGGAAGAAGCTTTCGGTGGCCAGGAGGCACAACACCCTCCTGCCCTGCGTCCACAAGCAGCATGCCTGCTGAGTGCACGCAAAGTGCAGGGCTGGCGTTTTGGCGAGGCCTTTGAGCCAGCTGGATCCCTTCACCTGTGTCGGAAAGCGGCACAGGGCTTGCGAACCTCTGCGAGTGACGAAGGTCTTCTTGGCTGAGTTGTGTAAAATGCGCGCGAGCGGCAGTGAGGCAAGCGTTTTGTGCAAGATCAATGTCAGCTTGAAGCTTGATGAAAGGCCTTGGGATGAAAGGCGCAGGCAATTGGCATGCCAGATCAACTTTCCATTGCACAAGCAGCTCGCGCTGCAGCTTCGGCACTGGACGGAATGTGCACACGATGCCCCATTCTGGATCAAAACAAAGGGTGCCCCTTTCTTTCGCATGATGCTTGACGGCCATGGACACCCTATGTTTGAAAGCTTGCATGCCTTTTGCAACGGTGTGTTGTTTGTGTTTCCGCAGCATTGCCTCTCGCACTTGAGGTAGTCCCAACTAGCTTGTTGAGTTCAGGCCCTTCATATTCTGAGCGATGGCCCTTCGCTTTTGCCTTGTCCTTGCACTCTTCGGCAGTGTGGATGCCAGCCTGCGCGGAAAGCTCCATGCGGCGGCAGGCACCATGAGCGCCGAGCAACTTCGGGAAACCGTGATGCAAGAAGTCATGGCCGCCCTTGGGAGTGGCAACCGAGTCACTGAGCAGCGTCTCAAGGTCATCGAGGATGCTGTTCGTCCCAGCTTCGAAGCCATGCCCAAGAACGAGTTCGGCAACTTGGAAGATGCGGCTGCCAGGTATGTGCTTCATCGGCTCTTTGTGCAGCGGCATGCCATGTACATCAAGGGTCTGGAGGCCAGCGGAATGGACTGGAAGAACATGTCGACTTCAGAAGTGCTTCAAGACCACGTTCCCTCCTTTGTGCTGTCCTTGTTTGAAGACCGTCTCAAGGGTCAAGGGCTTGGGTTGCACGAGCTTACCGTCCTTGCGGCCACCCTTGAGCATCTGATCCATGACGAGGCAGTCGCCAGACTCTCCATCGTGTACCAGGCACACAATGTCTCCCAGGAGGATCGGGTGGATGAGAGAGTGATGCAAGAGCTGATCGACACCTACATGACCATCTTTTTGGTTGGCAGGCACAATATCACTGCCTCCTCTGTTGCTGATGAGCGAGCGGCGGTGGTTGAGTCTTACCCTGGCTGGCATGACACTCAGAAGTTCACCATGCAAGTGCGATCCAGCGTGGTTGCTGCGCAGGCAGCCGATGCTGACTTTTCCCCGGGCAATTTGAGCTTCCGAGCAGCAACAGCAGTTGTGGAGGAGATCGGGGAGCGCTATGGCCGCTGGCAAGATTCTGAGTGCCGAGATCTCAAGAGCTTGCTGACCAAGATTGAGCATGCAGGCACAGGCAGGGTGCTCTTGAAGGACTTCTATGGGTCCGCCCTGAACGGGAATTGGCAGTTCTCTGAGAGCGTGGACTACCTGCGAGAGCTCGGTGCCCTGGACGAGTCTGACCCTGCCAATCCAGCAGTTCTGATCCCAAACTATGTGAACTCGCAGTCGAACTGTGTGGCCTCCAGCAGTGTCTACTCAGTTTGCTGCATCAACGAGTGCGAAACCCTGCTGGGCCACCTGGAAAGGCGCGTGGCTGCTCCTGAGGCAAGCCCTGAGCAGATTGTGTCTCTAGTGTCTGAGCTGCCGTCTGCCACGGTGCCGGCTCCCAGAACGCTGCCAGATAGCCTGAAGAGCCGCATCAATGAGGTGGCAAGCCACCACGGTGGCAAGGTGCCGTTGCACGGGCGTTTGTTCGCCCAGTGGCTGCACCATGCTTACCCAAGGGAATGCCCTTTCCCGCACGTTGCGGGCAAAACCAACCCCATGACTGCGGACGAGTGGATGCAGGTCCGCGGCCAGACCGTGTCAGCTACCAAGAACGAGATGGAGCGCATTGTGGAGAAGTCGACTGCCGTGGCCACATCCAAGTTTGAGATGACCTGGACGGCCGACGAGGAGCTTTTGGCAAGCTCCAAGAAGCCAGCTTCTGGCGGCATGCCCTTCCTGCGCTATGTGGGCTTCTTGCTGGCAGCCTTTTCTGCTGTCATGGCCTTTGGAGGTGATGCCTGGAAGAAGCTTTCAATGGCCAGGAGGCACAACACCCTCCTGCCCTGCGTCCACAAGCAGCATGCCTGCTGAGTGCACAAAGTGCAGGGCTGGCGTTTTGGCGAGGCCTTTGAGCCAGTCTGGATCCCTTCACCTGTGTCGGCAAGCGGCACAGGGCTTGCGAACCTCTGCGAGTGACGAAGGTCTTCTTGGCTGAGTTGTGTAAAATGCGCGCTAGCGGCAGTGAGGCAAGCGCTTTGTGCAAGATCGATGTCCTCTTTCTGGGTCCTGTTTGTTGCACACTGTAGCCTGCTCAGTGCGCTGATAGGAGTGACAGTTGCCGCCATAGGGTCTAGCTCTGCGCATTGGGACACGTGCCTTTGTCAGGATGGTTCGACATGCTTCATGTGACATGCGCAAACCACTGCTCAGCGTTTGATTGCTGACTTGGCTGTGGGTTAACAATTGGGTAACCCCAAATGGCTTGCCCTGGTAATTAAGAGGAAACATGGACTAGAATCTGCCTTGCAATTCCTGGTGCCCATAGCCGTTTGACCGCACTCGATCCATTTGCAGGCTTGAGCTGCCAGCGCCTGACGCAAACGTGGAGTGGCAAGGAAAAATCAAATCTCTGTGTGCCGAAGGTGGCCGACCTGGGAAAGAATGATGTTTAAACTTAGGCTCTAAACGGTCAGACGCAAAGCCAGATTCTCAAGTAGTCGACCAACCCAAAAAGGATGCCCCTTTTTTCCCCACGGCCACTGGGGGAAGCCCGGAAACAAGGGGGTACTTGGAAGGTGGCCCAGACGCCATACCAAATATGAATTGTCATTCAGTGATTCAAAGATTCCAAATATCCACGGGACTCCGGATCAACCGTTTTGGTCCCGTTTTCAGGGTTGTTGTTGAAGGACACATTTGAATCATTTTTTGCTTATTGTGGTTTAGTGGTTGAAATCCCCACTTAACTGCTTTTTTTTTTTTGCTCCCCTTTCAACATCAACCAAGCCAAGGGGCATTCTTTGGAATTTGCTCAGACATCTTCCCTTCGAAATCCCCTTGGCAGTCCTTTGACTTGGTTTTCGGTTGCTCTGTTGCCCAGTGGCGCCCTTTTTTCAACTTTTTTTTGGGAAGCTTGGTTCCCCTTTAGTAAATTAGATTCAACCAAACCAAACGGAATGCCCCTTTTTCCCCAGGGACATTTTAACGGGCATTTGAGGTTTTGGTTCGACCTCGTTTGGCTCCACTTGGGGCGTCGCCATTTCCACGCGTCGACCTGGCTCCGACTCTCGGCTTCAACACCCCAGTCCCGAGCGAGTGTACAGACAAGGCTCGGGCAGAGTGGAGGTCCCCCAGCAATTGGTGCCCTTTTACCGTTCCTTTTTTGGGTTGGGAGGGTTCCCCCACTGAAATAGACTACAAAAAAGGGTACCCTTATTCTAAGCTCTCTACTGGAGGACCTAGTCAAGCATCAGGTGCCTCATCATCTTAGCTAAGCAGTACATGTAACCATACATACAGAAACTATAGGTTGCTCAGAAACTGGGCCTGCAGTGAATATTCATCATGCGTATCCTACACAGGAGCTTGTTTCAGACCATGCAGCGCAGCTACCGACTGGCAGCAAACAACACCTACAACCAGCTTGAGCTGGGTAGCCGTGACATCGATCTCACGTCGAGGGTCATGTCGAGCTCACCCGGAGATGAATGCCTTAATTGTGATGACGGTTTGGGACCCATTATTTGTCTGGTCGGAAGTGGAAAGAAAGGTAGAACAAGCCAAGCAAGGTAGTTGCAAGTTTTCGGTTAGGCCTTGCGGTGTGGCTCATTTTAGCAAGGTCCCCAGCTAGGTGCCCTTTCTCACCCTTTTTGGGGCCGACTTTTCCCCTCCTAAAATAGACTACAGAAAAAAAAAGTGGGTGCCAACTTATTCTATCCTCTCCACTGGAGGACCTTAGTGGAAACCCACCCGAAGTATGCAAGATGCTTCGGGCGCTGCGGAAGCGCCCGCGGAAGCGCTCGCGGAAGCGGCCGACGTGCTGGACGCGCTCCTCACAGGCTCGCGGTTGGGGCTCGCGGTTGGTTGCTCGCGTTTGGCGCTTTTGAAGCCCCCATAGTATGGGGACTTACCCGCACGGCGGTTGAAGAACCAGAAAGTCCCCCAAATAGGAGCTTCAAAGGAGGCAGACATGTTCTTTTGTTTGTTTGGTTGGATACCCTTCAAAGATTGGTTTGGAGGAAACCAGCACCACACACACGCAAAATCCATTCTGGTCGATTCCCATAATCTCAACCCAGACTTTCCATGGGTTCCCCTGTCCCATAGAGTCAGTCCCTGCGTTGGACTTTAATCTTTTTGGAAGACATTGTTTTCGGAGTTTGGTCTAAACCCAACCACAGGGAGGTGGTTTTCCACGGAAACCAAAAGAAAAGGACAACCACCATTTTAAGTCTTAAAAAATAAAAAATAAAAATGAGACAAACCTAAAGATAGTGCCGTGCGTGGTTGGAATTGAGGGGCCCAGACAAAAGAGTTTCCAAGTCTCAGAAGGAGTGACGAGCGGAGCCAGATTTGATCCGGTGCACTGATGGTGCCTCAGGGCAATGTCATTCTGATCTCGGACTTCTTCTGGCACCGAGGTTTGGGAAGGTATGTGGTGCCTTGGGAATGGTGTCCCTTCGGGCCCCGCACCGTTCTGTAAGTCTTTGGCAGTCAGGGGAAATGACAAATCTGGCATTGAGCACGTCACAACAATTGCCTGTTGCCCCAGGAAGTTGTTTGCGCAACTTAGAAAAGCCTTAGGGTGTCCACTTCAAGGCATGCTGATTTTGAGAGCATTGGAGTGGTTTTATCTGCCTTGAAAACATTCCATTTAAAAAAAAAATGATTGTGCAACACTCGGGGCTTGAGGGTCACTCTTTTTGGACATCGCCTCCTTTGGTATCAAACGGGGCAATCATGTTTCGATTACATCCTGACCTGTTCAGTCTCGACACTTGGAACCGTTTGTCGCCAGGTTTCTTAGTTTTAGTCTAGGTGCAAACATGAGTTAGCCAGTCAACTCAGGAGCTTGGTTGGACTGAGGGAGCGCCAGCTCGCAAGCTGCAAGCTGGATGGCTATGGGATTGTTGGGCTTCGACGTGTGGCCACAGACTACGGGGTACTCCTTGCCCTGACCATGGAAGGCAGGAGGGTTGCTGGAAAAAATGCGCTCCTTTTTTGGGGAAGCCTGGAACCAAATCAGCGTCATATCACTTACCACTGAGCCAAGCCTTGCGGTTGGAATGGCTCGGCGCTTTTGCTTCTGAAGCGCCAGTTGGTTCCTGAAAGTTCCTTGACTTCACGCTTTGCCACAACCATATATTATGGTGCTCAACAACTGGTTCGGACCTGGAAACCCTCAATGCGTAAAAGTTTCAGAGGAAACCAAGAAACGACGTGGACCACATCTTTTCTATTTTTTTTACTCGAAGCATGGGATGTGTTTGCACGCCAGGCCGCGGCAAGCGTGTCGAGGCTGAAATTCGATGCCTCGATTTCGCTTCGCTGGTCGGGCTGCGATATTGTCTTTCCCTCGGGGGTCCAGGGTGGAATAAGCAACGTGGGCAGCATTAACATGTTTAAACAGACGGATTCACCCTGAGAGGCCACAATGTGTCCTTTTCTGGCAAAATCCACTTCGACAGACATAGTACCCGCATGTGTATTTCAGGGGCAGAACACTGTGTTCAAATTGCCGTCTACATCCGTTTAGAGGGCTTGCCCTTTTTGACCCGTTTTGGCGAAATAGAAGGACTGATGGGTCAGTCAGAGAATACTTCTGGGAGGCTGTGTCCACAAGCATACCCGGAGCAGATGATTTTGTCTGGGGAAGTTCGTGGTCTCCGGCGCCCAGCCGCAAGCAGCTTGACGCACACTTGGCATGCCAAAGTGCACGCGTGCTTATCGCATAGTCGAGTACTGTACAATACCACTCTTCTGGAATGTTGATCCCATATTGGCCTGTCACATCGACCCTTGGACTATTGCGCATTGAGCAAATCAAGTGTATGTGCAACTCTTGGCTCAAGGATGTTGGATTTCGTTTCGGCACGAATGAGATTCGTTTTTGACTCATAAGCATCCAGAGTGAAGCCATGAACTGGTTGCCTTTGGTTCTCCCGCTCGGCAGCGCCAGTCAGCTTCCCTTCTCAGATGACACCGCGCAGGAAGAATCTGAAAAGTGTTGGATGACGGAAATGAATAATCTTCTTCAAGTTGGCTTGGAAGTTGAACCTTTTGCGAGGGCTGTGAGCAAGAACACGCTCCATGCGCTTCCACACAACTTCTCAAGTTGGCCGGTTCCGCAGCAAGGCTTGTCTTTGCTGGTTGCGCCCTTGCAAGCCGTGAATGAGAGATTGAAAGAAACTCAGCCCTCCACGCTTGTGACTGCAGAGCCCGCCATGCCTACACTCTTTATGTTGGAGCATGTCAGCAACATTCTGGTCGGCTGCATATTCCTGTGCTTCTTTATTCTTTGCGGCTTTTTGTTTTGTCGCGGCTTGCCCTGCAAAGTGACTCAGCATTCAAGTGTGAAGCAGGGATGTCCGACCAGCTGGGTGGTCTTCATGGGGATGGTGTACACCTTCACTTATTTCACGACAGACCAATATGTGCCAAGCCTTCCTCAGATGGGTATCGACTTGTCTGGTTCTCAGGCACTGATGAGCGCCACAGTGCAAATGAACTTTGTAGTGAAAGCAGTAGCTGGTATATTCACTGCTGGCCTATCTGATCGTATTGGCCGAAGACCCACTCTTTTAGTTTGCATGTCGCTCTTGAGTTTGGCAAGTTTTTGTTGTGGATGCGCTGGTCGTGTGGAATGGTTTGTAGCTGCCCGCATTCTTCAGGGGATTGGAGAATCCGTGGAGCCAGTGATTTTTGCGATGACTCGGGACTATTTTCCCAATCCACAGCAACGCTTCGGAATAGTTGCTGCCTTGCAGATGATGTCCATCGGGGGCATGTTGGTAGCACCTGTCATCGGAGGCCTTCTTGCTGAGCTCTTCAACTGGCGCATGTCATTCTTTGTGCTGGCCACGATTTGGGGCGTGCTGGCAATCTATTCATACATCGCCATGGTTGAAAGCTGTCCCGATCAGGAGCACGACGACTACTTGAAAGATGTACTGCGGATTCTTGATCCACACCTTCTTTGCTTGTTGTTGACAGAAAGCTGTATGATGGGAGCCTACTTGACCTTTAATGCCAATGTCAGCTACTTTGCCCAGACCTTGTTCCACCAATCTACAATGACAACTTCTTTGATTATGTTAACATTTGGAGCATTGAATGGTCTTGGTTTGACCATTTCGAAGGCGCTAGAGCTGGGTAGCATTCATCGCGTCGCCAAGGTAGCAGTATCGCTTTATGCATTTACTGGCATCGTGTCTTTTGCGCTTGGAAGTTTCTTCTCCGATCATATCTGGGCATACTTGCTGGGATGCTTTCTTCAGGCCAGCACCATCACTATGGCCCTGGTTTCTGTCAACGTCCTCTTCTTTGAGCCGCTCAGAGACTGCGCCGGCCTCGCGGCCTCCGTGGAGATCTTCGCGAAGAGCGTCCTGCCAAGCCTCTTCTCCATGGCGTCCACGCAGGCGCTGCTGCGGTTCAAGGCAAAGGGGCTGATCCAGTTCCAAGCCGCCGCCTGCGTGGCCTCTGGCCTGGTGTTTTGCTGCTATGGCCTCTGGCCTAAGGCAACAGACCAGGACTCACAGAGTGAGAAAGTTGTGACATAGCAGAAAGGCTGGCGTGGATGGCCCTGTGATGTGGCAAAGCGGTTCTTTTGGGCGCTGCGTTTATCAGGGATGGCGGGAAGAATCAGCTTGAAGTGTGTTCCCCAAATTTTCCCATTTGTATCACACACGCGGTCGGCGCTTGAATGCCTTTACCCAGGCCTAGCAGGAAAAGGCAGGGGCAAGCGTCGTTGGGTGCTGGAGATTCGTGACTAGCATACTCTGCAATGCAACTTCTTGACGATCGAATCTCAGATATGTATGAGTCACAGCAATGGCTGTTGTGCTTGACGAAGTGTCGGCCCCAAAAGAGGCAGCCAAAACAGGTGCACATTAGTAATAGTGGTGGTGGTCGTCGTTTTCGCCGCCGTCGCTGCTCCTGCTTTCTTCGGGCTAGGTGCTGGGGCGTGCCTGGGCCGCTTCCGAGTCTGCGAACGCGCGGCTTTTGGCGGCGCTGTGCGGCTTGAGGCACCTTGTGAGGGAGGGAAAAGCGGCAACAACGGCTGCAAGGGTTTGGGGAAGTGTATGGGTGTGTCCTGTATGGGTGTGTCCTTGGTGTTTTGCAGGATGTGATTTGTTGGTTGCCCCCATGGGTTGTCATAATGAGTATAGCGTATAGCCCTTGGACCGTGGTGCTGCCGCCTTGTGCCTCCTTTTCAAGGGCAGAGGGCCAATGTTGACAACCCCCATCAAAGGCAATATGTTTGAGGCCCAAAGTCATTATTTGTGGTGCGCTTGCGAAGTCATTGCAGGGTTTGCTTGCGAGTCGAGGACAAGTTCCTGGGAGGTAGAAGACCTGGAAGGTTGATGGATCAGTGCTCAACACTATTAGGGGCACCCAAGACTATAAGCCGTTTTGAAGGTAATGGAGGATAACCGAAGCCATTGTTTCAGTGAGAGGGAGTGTACTGTTTGTCTCTCGTGTCATGTTGGCTGCGACAAGAGATTCAACAGTGTCACTTCTATAAGGCATCCCCTCAGCAATGCTTCGGATCTGCCCAAATGAATAGAAGCCTACCAAGCGAGAATGTAAACACGCCTCCCCATGATGAAGGCTTCTTACTGGAGAAAGCAGAGTTTCTGACTTTTGAACATATGCGAAGCTAGGGTGGGTCTTTGTCAAAAGAAATTGTCATGAGTCGTGCTGACGAAGAAAGATGCACCTTGGCAGGTTGGACATCGTACACCTTGCTTGACCAATAAAGTTGGTCAAAGTTTTGTTGCACCAGACTTTCCGAGAACCATATTGGCTCATAATGCTCAGATCTCAGTATCTGTTTTTGTGGTGTGTTTCTAGTATCATTCACATTGAGGTCGCCTGTGGAAGAATCGATCCTTAGTGCCTGCAAGAGTTGTCGATGTTCTCCACATTCTTTCGACTCATTGTTTTGCTTTGGACGCAGTCCCAAGTGCGTGAGTTTTGGCGATCGTTCTGGACCTCAGGATTGCTGGACGCAGCCACTGGTTGCATAATACAGCTAGAGGCAATGTAGTCTTGGTTCTGTGCGCCTCACATGGTCAGTGCGGCGGTTCAGATGGCATTCGAAAGGTTGCTTACTCTTGCAGAGCAACCCGTTGCCCAAACTCTTGCACGGATGTTTAGAATCGTTGCTCCGAGCCTGAACATGAGGATGAACCAGTAAGGTTCCATCCGTGTTGAAATATACCCATGTGCGCGACTGCATCGTCCGGGAGTGAGGACTGGGGAGAGAAGACTTGGGGATGGCTTAGCTCTAGCAAGAAATTCATATCAAAGTTCAGAGTCCAGAGAACTTTGCAGAGCACCCCCCCAAAGATTGTGTCCGCAGAAAAATGCCCTAGTAATTATGGCCTGGATTTCCGGCCAAATCTTCAACTGCATTCCCGCTCTTGCAACCTTTTTGGTTTACCTGGGATCGATGTACCACCAACCGGTTTTCGAGCCTCCCGTTCCGCAGGCTGCCAGAAGTTCCGGAGCACCTCGATTGGGCTGGGAGTTGATTCTAGGTGTCCTTTTGATCTCTTAGTTTTGTCGGCAATAGATGGGTTGGTTTCGTTTTTGTTTTTTTTGATTAGAAATAAATTTGGGGTTCTACTGGCAATTTGTTTGCCCGACTTACCGGGGCCGCCCTTTTACCGAAAGGACACCGATTTGTTCCGGACGGGTCGCGCCCCAACTTGAGACATAAGTTTACAGCGCCTTCCGTCCAGGTTGTCCAGCTCAAAAAAGCGACAGATCCCGAGTTTCAAGAATGAAATCCCTTTCCTCGCCGCCCACTTCTGCCACGGTGTTTTTTGAGGTGCTTTGCTGAAATCTTTTTTAGTGAGCCGGGGACCCCTGAAGTCGACCCTTGGTAGCTGGGGAAACGAAGTGGGATGCCTCTTTGGCTGAAGATTCCTACGGGAGGTATCGAGAGTGGAGAGAAAACGGCGGCCTGCTTCGAAAGGTGGGAGTTGTTAGGCATATGATATGCATATTATGTACCCAGTTGCAATATATCTATACATGTTAGACATAGGCATACACCACTGTACATGTACATATACATACTTGTACATGTGGTGTGCTTTGTCTACAACATAAGTAGGCCTTTGCGAGAATCCTAGCCAGCTCACCGATCTGGGGTGAAACGGGCCCCATGAAGGATGCCTTAGGCGCTTCCAAGAATCACCCTCCTTTGAAATTTGCCTGAAACTAGCAGCCTAATCTCCTCTGTTGGTTGGGTGGTTGGTTGATTGGGTGGGTGGTTGGTTTGGTTGGTTGGTTGGTTGGTTGGGTGGGTGGGTGGTTGGTTGGTTGGTTGGGTGGGTGGTTGGTTGGTTGGTTGGTTGGGTGGGTGGTTGGTTGGGTGGTTGGTTGCTTGGTTGGTTGGTTGGGTGGGTGGTTGTTTGGTTGGTTGGGTGGTTGGTTGGTTGGGTGGGTGGTTGGTTGGTTGGTTGGGTGGGTGGTTGGTTGGTTGGTTTGGTGGTTGGTTGGTTGGTTGGTTGGTTGGTTGGTTGGGTGGTTGGTTGGGTGGTTGGTTGCAAGACCCCTCCCATTGGGACCTGAGACGGCCCGGCGCTCTGGCCGCCGCACTCCTGGATTTGCGGAAGAGCGTGGAGAGCGGCCCCCCACCGCCGGAGGGCACGCTGCCGCGCCTCCAACGTGGGAGGGGGTCTGAGGGTCTGACGTGGCCTGGGTGAGATCTGGGTGTGGCTGAAAATGAAATGTTTGTTGTTGGGGGGGTATGACATGTGAGGTTTTTGGGTGTCCTGGGGTGTGGCTCAGAATTTAATAGCTAGGGCCAACCGGAGGCTGCAGGTGTTGGGGTCTGTGCTTCCATTTGCGGTGCGTTTTTGTTGGTAGATGTTTTTGAGCCACAGCCACATCGAGGCACCGCGAGCCCACCTTCCGCTAATCCATCGGCGCATGGATCCGGGTTCGGAGATGTTAGTGGCACATACCGAGTGTTAAGCAAGGGCCGGGGTCTTCTTTGCTTTTTTTTTGAATGGATTCGCTGCACCTGGATGGATGAAACCCTATAAATTCTTATGGATCTGTACCGGGATGGATGAAACCCTATAAATTCTGGGATAAACCGACGGACCTTTGCAGGATTTGGTCCATGCAGTAGCCTGGGCCGTCAAAGGGCCCGTCGCCCAGGACCCTGCCAGCGAACTGCGCACGCCAGGTGGGTTCGGATGCTCGAAATATATGCGACTTCCCTGAGGAGGTGTTTTTTCGCTTTCTTGAACACCAACTAGGTCCCCTAGGGTTCCCCCACTGAAGTAGACTACAGCAAAAAGGGTACTCGAGGACGACTCGAGGACCTAGCCAAGCAAGATACCCTTTGATGTGGAACCAGTCAACGGGATGGCCCAGGGAGTCCCCCAAAAATGGTTCTGAGATCTTCTCTGCCAAATATTTTTTCCGGAACCCCCCTTCGGTTTTGCTGGTTCTCAGCAGGGATGAGGGAATGACCCTATACACCGTCCTCTATGGTTTCCTTTGAGCGAATCCCTAGGTTCATTCACAACACCCGGAACGGTCATTCCCTACTCAGCACCAGCAAGAGGTGTAGAAAGCCTTTGCCTGGAAAGGGGACTGGTTGTGTAAAAGGGTATGTGTCCAAATTGAGGGGAGCCACAGCTTTCCTTTCCAGCCTCAACCTGAAAAGCCCTCAAAGAATTGCACGTAGTCCTTTTCCTTACCGAAGTAGCTTGAACATAGCTCACGCTCCCCCCCCCCGTTGAACATAGCACCCCCCCATCGGCCCCCCCACCAGGGAACATAGGCCCCGCTCACCCGGCACCCCAACCCAAACCCAAACCCCAGCCCCCAGGCCTGGCCCAACATAGGCCCCCAGCCCCACCCCGAACAGCCCACCCCCGAATGAAGACCTACGATTAGTAAATATACCATAAACAATGCTAACCGATTTCCCGAAAAAATAATAAATATACCATAAATAATGCTAACCGCTTTTTTTCCCAGGGGAAAAATATGAACACAATACAACATAATATAAACTGATTCAAAAAAATACCCTTCCCCCCACAATCCGGGTGCCTTCACTTCGCAGGTCGCGGCCCGGATCTCCCAGTTCTTCAGCTCCGCCGCCTCCTCGCTGGTGGCCGCAGCAGGCGCTCGGCTCGCGCCGTCGCTTCCGAGCCGCGCCGAGTCGGTTCCGAGTCCCCCCATGGCCACGTTGGGACACCCGTCCATTGGAAGGGGGGTGTCTTTCCTTTGAGTCGGTCGCCAATTTTTAGGGGACCCTCAAAAATAGACACGCCCTGATAATTCATTCAATGATGAATGGATTGATCAATTAAGTGTGTCAAATGACAACTTAGGCTTGATTAGATGACAATTTGGTCAATGGATCCTGGTGGGACTTGTTAATCCATGTCAACTTTGGAAACTCCTAATCTTTGAGGCCTTGTTGATCGTTTTTGTCTCCTTTTTGTGGATCAGCTAGTCCAGACGCTATATATACTAAGCAAACGTTTTTCCCCGAGGGGGAGGAGGGTGGATTTCGCACCCCTGGGAGGTTCCCTCGCAGCGTTTCCCCGTGGAAAACTCCTTTTTGTCTCACCCATGGCGCCAACCAAAAAAAGTCGTGTTTCAAGAAAACCTTGTGTTATATTATTTTCTTACTATTAATATTACTATTACAATTACTATTATTATTACTACTACTATTACTATTGTTACTATCATTATTACTATTACTATTATTATCACTATTACTATTACTGTTATTACTATTATTATTACTATTACTATTATTATTACTATTACAATTATTACTATTTCTATTACAATTACTATTATTATTACTAATGCTATTACTATTATTTTTTTTACTATTACTATTATTATTGTTGTCATTATTACTATTACTACTACTACTACTACTACTACTACTACTACTACTACTACTACTACTACTACTATTACTACTACTACTACTACTATTACTATATTATTATTACTATTACTATTACTATTATTACTATCATTAATAAGCATTACTACTATTTGTGTTACTAATAGTATTACTATTATTTTTTTACTATTACTATTGCTATTATTGTCATCATTATTATTACTATTAGTATTACTTTTACTATTGTTATTATTACTACTATTACTATGACTATTACTATTACTATTACTATTATTATTATGTATTATTATTATATTTTATTATTATTGCTATTTTTGTTTTCAGTAATACTCATTATGTTGTTTTCCTTTTATTATTTCCAAATCGGAAATTCGATATATTGATTGATGAGCTCAACCCGCAGCATGGGGTTTTGTCAGGGTGCCATCCGGCACGGGGCCGGGGGCTTGAACCGAAGGCCGGGGCCAAACCGGTCTTCGCAATGACTTTGGGGGTTTTGGAGAGACTCCGTTGCCCAGTGGTGGTCTTTTTTCAACTTTGTTTGGGAAGGGTTCCCCTTTAAAGTCAACCAACCAAAAAAGGATGCCCGTTTTTCCCATGGCCACTGGGCATCTGGGTTGACGAACTGAACACTCTACGAACTGCAAACAGGCGAGGGCTACCAGCAATGTGCATGCATACATGGTCTGTGTAGAATGTTGGCTTGTGTAGAATTATGGCTTGAAACATGTTGAAAGTCTCGAATCCGAAAACATCATGTTTCCCTTACACAACACAGTGGTTTCGTTTGGGTATGACTTGTTCATCAATCTTTGAAGTGGGATGCCTGGAATTAGGTCGGTGGTTGAATTCGGCCATCGGGGAGACATATCAGGTGTGGGGGGTCTTCCTTTGCCTTTTGGGCGCCTTGACAACCAGAGGAAGACAGGGAGGAGCTAGCACCTGGGTTCTTTACTCTTTCGGCCGGAAAAAAAGGAAAAAGTCTTAACAAGACAACCAACCCGGGTGTTTGTTCGGTTTTGGTTTCCAGGATGAATTCACAGAGGGCAATTGGTTTGATTATTTTATTATTTTTTTTCGAAGGAAGTCATTATGTTTGGTGAAATGCTGTAAGAAGACACACACACACACACACGCAATCACTGGGAACCGACTACTTGACCAGGGCTCTGGGCTTCTTGACACACAGAGATAGCAGCACATTGCTAGCATGGTTGTGGGAAATGAATGGACATGACGCTTGGGCGCGCCTTGTTTTTTTTTTTTTGTGCTGGTGTCCTTGTGGGCTCCCTTGTTTTGTTTGTTGTTTCGGACCTTTTTCTGACCAGTTTCTGACTTCACCCGAAGGCAAAGCTGGTGGGGAGCGACAACTGCAGCGCCTGGTCTGCGAGCTGTGCCTCTTCTCAGGCGAGTGCGGCACTGGGCCCTGAGCACCGAAAAGCCCATAGCCCAAAGCCACAAGCCTCGGGGCGGTTCAGGGATGAGCAGACCACTGACTCATGTTAAGGCACGAGCAAACTGAGGTGTTGAATCACCAGCCAGACAATCGGCTTGACTGCCATTGGGTAAACTTTTTGGAAAATAAAGGTTTTCCACTAAACCCTGGAAAAGTTAAAAAAACAATTCAGGGGGTCAACAGCAACCAAGATCGCACCTTGGTTCTTGACCATGGCTTTGGGTCGCCCACTTTGATAGTTTAGCGTCTGCCGCCGACCGCTTCCCCCCGTAGTGCTACGCATCAGTCGCTTTTCTCAAGTAGGCATCAAACTGTTGGATTCCTTAGTCAATGATTGTAGACAAATCCACGTTTGGGCTCTAAATATCAGCGAATTTCTGCCCCGCTTTGGAAACTGGCATGAACCAGAGTAGCCGACAGAGCAGCAAAGCATATATTTTTAGTCGGCTGATGCTAGGGGGTGTCTCACCAGGGGCACTCTCCGACATGGCACCTCAAGAGAAGAAGGTCTTCCAAGTCTGGCAGTGGCTGTTTCAGCACATCCCCAACGAGTCGAACCCGTTTCTGGATGGTCTCGATTCTTGTTCGGCAAAGGGATAGAAAGGCTTGCGCCCGTCTGCCAGACTCCCATGTTAAGTGTGTCGCCTGGGTAAGGAAAATAATCCAAAGTGGTGAATATGGTGGGTGCCTCATTTTTTGTCGGGGGCCCCCCAGCAAATTATGCTGTTCACCTGGTTTCCCTTCAAAGCCACCAAACAAATGGGTACCCTTTACATGAGTCTTCCAGGTTGGGGCTAAGATGGTCGATCTGGGTCCGCCAGGCGGACACACTTGTGGCTCACATATTTCTGGATATTTCCGGACCCACACCACAGTTCCTACCTTATTACTTGCAAATTTGACACTGCATGGAAAAAGAGACTTGATGGGGTGAGGTGGAATTTGTTTTCCGAGAAAACAACAATCAACCGGTGCAAATTCTGCAGTGCTGGTGGTTGATTATGAACCACCAGCACTGCAGAATTTGCACCTGCACTGATCGCGCAAGACTGTTTAGTGCACACCTGGGATCAATATGTCCTGTGGGCTTCGCTCTCCAAAAAAGAATAGGGAGACTAGGTCCCCCAGTAGTGCCATTTTACCCTTTTTGTGGGGAGGGTGTGCCTACAAAAATAGACATCCTGAAACAAGTTGGTACCCTAAACCCTAACCTCTCTACTGGAGGACCTAGACTGAGGGGTTACCTCTGAGCTTTGAACGCTGGTTTTCTTCGCAAAACAAGCTCGGGGTGGCTCCCAGCCATCCGGTTCCTTAGCTTTTTAGATCCTTTTGGTGTTTAGTGGTCGTTTCCATTTAAGCCACTAAAAGTTAGCCTTTTAGCGGGGGATCAGAAAACGGGCAGCCCAGTTCCCCTGTCGTTTCACCGCCTCTGCCAGGCACGCCGCTGCGCGTCCTGCGCCAGGAGCAAAAGGGTCTCGGGAAGTTTGGGGCGCCTGTCGAGACCGGGTAGAAACTTGCACGTGGGCCCTGCCTGCTGTATTTTAAAAACTTGTTTGCGCAAAGCCGACCGTGTGCTTGGCCTGTCTGGTTTAACTGTCTATTCGGCTGTTCTGTGTAAGTTGGTGGCTTGTCCTTGCACTCCAGCAACCGGAAGCTTTGCCCTGCGGTGTTTTTTTGTTTGAAATCCAGCAGCAGGAATGCCCTGCGTTTTTTTTGGGCGGAAAGCCAGGAAGGTTCGCCTTGAGGCCCCGAGGATGGACTGACACCCCAACCAGGCAGGCTTTGCCGCGGCGTGCGGCGCGCTGCAGGCGCTGAAGGCCGGACAAAGTTGCTGGGGTCTCCAAAACTCCAAAACGTCGTGTCCTTTTACCGATTTTTCTTTGGTGGGAGGGTTCCCCTGCTAATAATTGGGTACTAACTTATTCTAACCTCTCTACTGGAGGACCTAGATATGTTTTACTTTCCCTTGTTGGTTCTAAAGGGAATCTATCACTGGACATATGTTTTCCATTTTTTCCAGGGGGCGAACAAGCAAATGGAGGAAACCGACTGGCTGGATTTAAGAAACGAGCAGAGCGTGACCATGTACTCACTTGCAGACGAGCAAACGAGCAAACCGGAGGTGTTCATTCACCTGCCAGACAAAATTCAGGGCAGACGAAGTACGGAACACGATCAGAAAATAACATTTTGTGTTCACCCGAGGTGTGGGCCAAGACATCAATCGTTTACTTCTGCAATCCAGAATAAGTTGAGTTGTAAAGTACCATACAACCCAATTCTAAAGATTTGGGCCCTTGTAGCACTCATCTTGCGGTTGTGTTCACATTATGTTAACAGTAGTTGTTCAATCATGAGGTGTCCCCCTTGTTTTCGGTTTTCAACAATCATTACTTTCAGACATCAGTTGTTCTGTGTCCATAGCTTTTGGTGGTGTTCGCCAAAGAAGGATATTTGAATTGATCAAGTGCGTTCCCCTACAACCTTGGGACGACTCCGAGGATGCTTGTTCGGAGGCTTTTGAGGCCGTTATCTTTGGAGAACTATCACATCCGCGATACGGGCTGAAACAAATAGGATGGGGTCGCGGGGTACTTAGCAACTAAAATATGTCATGATCAACCAAAGAGCTGCTATATTAAGGCGTTTTGTATTACACCCTGGGATTGCAACATGGAAATGCTAGTTCGGATCGTACTGGGCATTTCCGCAGGGTGTGTCCCAGGGTAGTTCTGAAGCCCGCAGATAAGACATGAGCTCGAATCCTACTGTGGATGGACAAAGTCCTGCACCAGTTAGGATGGATAAAGCCCTCTGAGTAACGGGATCAGCTGGTGCAAAAATGGTATTGCACATGTCCATCCACTGATTTCGTTGCATGTTCGCTTTTGGACGTAGTTGTAGAAGTAGTCGGCGTAATGCACAAATCCCGTGAAGAAACGAGGGCAACAGACCAAAAACAACACCTTACTCTACTCAAAAAAGGCACGCACGGCACGAACAAAAGACACAAAATCCTCAGGTCAGGGGTTTCCCTATAAAATGCCTGCTTTTCCGCCACCTCTCATTCCGGGCCAGGCGGAGCGCCTGGTTTTGCTGCATAGCCTGGAAGAGCTGCAAGGTCGCATCGATGGAGTCGCGGAAGGCGAGTGAAGGGGAGATCCGAAGAATGTCATCCATTTTTTCTCTGGCGCGTTTTGCCAAGGGATGTTAGGACTTGAACTTTTTTTGCCAGCGAATAGTTTTCCGTATTAAACCACTAGAAGTGAAACTTTTAGCAGGGGAGCAGAAAGCAACCGAATTTTGTGCAACGTGGCAAGCTTCGCTTTGGGGCAGCACTGTCATCCACTTGTGTTCCAAGGCTTGCCATGCCTGAGTTAGTGTTGCGAGGAGTTAACGGGAGTTGCCATGTTAACGGGACATCCATTCTTTTTCGCAACGTGGCAAGCTTCGCTTTGGGGCATTGCAGGAAGAAAAAAGAAGAGAGAGGGAATCCCTTGAAACTGACAAGTCCACTGACTTTGGTCTCACGGAAAGGGGTTTGCCGGGGCTCGTTTTTCCAGTTGACTGATGTAAACATCGCCTGTCCAGTTGTTTTGTAAGAGGCTTTCTTTCTTTTGTAACCAAAGCTTGAAGGTACTTGCAAATCAACAAGGAGCCTCAAATCGCCCAGTCGCCCTAAAAGGCAATACAAGTCATTTTGCGGTCCATGTCTGCAAGGGTATGGTCAGTCCCTACTCACTTGCCAGCCTTAGCGCGCTCTTCCCAGCCTGCCGGGGATAAGGCAAGGTCCGGTCACGCGATCCAGAAAACAATCGACGCCTAAAGCCGACAAGCCTCATCTGCGTGAAGTGCGGGCGATTTTCAGATGCAACAGCTTCCCCAGCGAGATCAACCATAGATTGCCCAACCCCCCCCCCCCCGCTTAAATGAAAAGGGAGGGGGGGTCCGAGGGGGGGGTTCGGTAATCTTCCATTTGAATGAGAACTTGTGTTATTCTCCCCTGGTTTCAAAGGGAATCTAGAGATTTGTTTTCATTTTTTGCCGGGGTGGGAGGGTACATGGATATCAAATTTCCTCTTAATGGGCCCTCTGTCAGGTGCCATGGCAAAGTGGAAGGGAGGAGTACTACAAGAGTATGAAAAGAGTACAAAAAGAGTATCTACACGGGGAAGAAAAGCAATCCACAAAAAGCGCAACTCCAATCCGTTTTCTATGCCCTTGTCCTGATAATTGCCATGGTTCCAAGCTACTTACTGGGTCCGTTAAATTTCGACGCGCTCGTTTGCCGCTTGCGCCGCTTGCGGAAATGCCCCCCCGGGATTTCGGTGTTTCGACGTGATCCGCAGGCGAGGGCGCCACAGGCGCGGCGCAGGTGGCGCGGCTCTGCCGCGCCAAAACCGCGGCGCAGCGGCTGCTGGCGGTGCTCGAGCCACGGGCGGGGCGCGCGTCGGCTCCCGTCGGCTCACTCGTCGTGTTTGATGCACGGGGAAGCGGTGGGGGGTTGGAGCTGTTAGGGAGCTAAACATAGGTGTTCTGTATGGGCTTCGTTGAAAAATCAATGGAGGGCGATTCCTGGTTTACCTGTTGGTTGAATCATTTGCCAGGGAAACCCATCTATTTTCCACAAAGGACACCTATGGAGCCTGTTAATGTAGGGTTCCTTGCCCTTGAAAGAAAGGTTGAACTTGGATGACAATCTTTAGGTAAATTCTGGTGCATGGTAAAGTTTGAAGGTTCGGTGCTTTGAACCGCAGTTCCGGAGCCAGCCATCAGAGAGGTTGCACAGGGACCTAATCCTCCAAAGCCTTCCGGAAGTCTTGGACCGAACAGGACTCCGGGGCTTTCCGTTGGTTCTTTTCTGTGTAGATCCCTTGATACCTCCTGAGGATGGCTGGTAAAAAGGGGTCTAAGAACCTCCTTAGAGGGTACTTGGACCCTCTGGATTCATAAAACCCTGCTTTTTAATCCTCCATTTGCCTAATTCCCCTGGAACAAATACACTTCCAGTAGTGAAATCGACTCCCTTTAAAACCAACAGGGGGTTTTCGTGGGTTCTTCCCTCCTAGCTGGTGGCATGTGCGCTCGGACGGAGCGCAGGTGGCGGAGCTCCAGGAGCAGCTGCTGCTGCGGCTGCAGGACGCCGCGCCGCCTCTGCGCAGGCGCGGACGCAAGCCGCGGAGTTTCGGTTCGGCTGGAGGCGCTGGGGTGAAAGACCTGGGCAGTGGCGGTAATCATGGGGGCTGGGGGGGAGGGAGGGGAGGGAGGGGAGGGGGAGGGAGCCCAAATAAGCCTCAAAGGCCTTGTTAAGGGCTTAATAAGGGCTTATTTGGGCACCCTGCCCCTCCACTCTCCCCCCCCAACCCCCATAAGGTAAGTTTCGCCACGAACATAGACAAAGCCTTCGAGGTCTGTGCAGCACTTCCCAAGGTCCTAGTCAAGAGTAGCAAGCAACAGCGTTTGGGCAGAGTTCTGTGTCCAACTCCCCGATATGGCACTTTCAAAGTCGGTTGGAGGTGGCCGGGCCCGCGTTTCACACCAGACCTGCATGGTTCCTTCTCCAAGTCAAAACCCCTCGTTCCGTGATACCAAGAGAACCCCATTTGAAAGGGACAAGGTAGAGGGTTGAACCCTACTGTGGTGTTCTAAGTCTCTGTTTCCCCCTCTTGTGTGGCCTGTTTTTCTCCGAAGGTCACTGGGTCTTAGGCCGTCCATGCTTGCTCATGTACGACAAGTGCAAGAGGGGCATGTCATGTGTCGCAACCGGCTGCACGTGCAGATAGATGTCCATGTATATGTGCATACGCTTGGACAAGTACGTAGTACAAATCGTATCTCTCTGTGTGGTCTCTGTGTAGAAATACAAATTTGTTGGTTACAAGAAAACCCTCTAAGCCTTTGGGCAACGATCGGTTGAACCTGGGGTCCTGCCTTGTTTCCTTTTGTTTCCTCGAGACCCGCTCAGGTTCGGTGGCTTATTTTGCACTCCGATCAACACTTTAGAGGTTTTGGTTTCTGGTAGTTTTCAGCTATCCCCTTAGCCTTTTAGCTTTTTAGTGTTTAGTGGTTGGATTTCCATTTAACCCACTAGTCAGTTAAGCTATTAGCGGGGGATCTGAGAACGGACAGGTATGATTGGCCTTTGGCCTGATCCCGACCAGAAGGCCTGAGCAACCAAGGTCAGTCCAAAGACCAGCCATAGCCTTCTATCCCTTTGCTCCAAGAAGCCTGAGCAATTGAACAGGCGAAACACCCAAAGTCCAACCACAAAACAATCCTTGGGGCAGAAACAGAGCCCACTGTTCAAACCTGTCACAATATGTATTTTACTCTTTGATGGTTCGCTAATTATGGACCAATCTCTTCCATTTGTTCAAGATGTTTCTTTATTTTCCCCTGTTGGTTTTTAAATGGAATCTATCACTACCGGACATGTTTTTCCCCCTTTTTTTTCAGAGTTCGAAAATGCAAATGGAGGATCCAATCTAAGAATATATGGCTGTGCGTCGCCCTCAGTGAACATCCCAATCCCCAGTAAAATAGGTTCTAAAATGGGTGGTGAATTCACCTACCCCAAAATGGGATCCCATTGGTTTGGACCCACAGCCATATTCTCGCAAGGCAAAATCTGCAGCTGTTCGCTTGGTCGCCCAGGATGGCGGTCACATGCTTGGGCCGCCTCATCCAGCTGCAGCTGGCCAAGGATGCCGTGCCGCTGGTGCTGCGCGCAGTGACTGCGTGGCACCCCAGACTGGCCTTTCTGGGCCGCCTGTTTCCTGCTTTGAGGTTGGGCAGAAAGGCTAGGTCCCCCGGTAGTGCCCTTTTACCGATTCTTTTTGGGGGAGGGTTCCCCTACTAAAATAGACGTCCTGAAAAAAGGTGGGGACCCTTATTCTAACCTTTTCACTGGAGGACCTAGTTGTGCAAAAAGGAAATCAGATAGAGTCGAGACATTTGTTCTTTTTGCTGTAGCGGGACTATTCCCGGCTCTGTCACCGCTTCTTTGTTTGCCCAATATGGGGTGTGTGTTTTTCAGGGTACCCGTGTTATGCATGTCCGACAGGACATGCACTTGTTTCTTTAGGGTTTTCGGGGCAGGGGAATGTGGGACTTCCCCTGCGGACTTGCAAATTTTCAGGAAGTGATTGTACTCCGCTGCCCGCCTCGGCCAGTATCAGCCTGAATCTTTTGGCTTTGAAGTGCCTGTGCTTTGGGCCTGCAGGCCTGCAGGCCTGGGGGCCTGGGCGCGGAGTGCTTTTCGAGTAGCGCCATCCACGTCTTTTGCGACGACTCACTCCCCGAGTTCATGTTCTTTTTAGTCACTTAGGTTTGCCGACCATTTGAGTGGTATTTTCTAAAGAACAAAATAAATAAATTAAAAAAAAGAGCTACTTTGGGCCAGCCGTGGAGTCCGCTCAAAGCCGTCGCCCCAAAAGCTCGCCCCAAAGCTTGCGTGCGCCGAATGCTCAGGACCCCGCGCCGGAGGTGCGTCTGAAAGCCATGGAGCTGGCGGGGGCGTGGTTCGACGCCAAGGCGAGCGATCGACCGAGCCGATGACCCGCCTAGGGGCGAAATCCTAGTGCAGGGAATGAGAAATGAAATGCCCCCTATAAAGCGCCTATAAACTATAAACCATTCCTTGTGGTTTGCTCTGGGTTCATTCCATGTGTCATTCCCTACTGAGCACCAGCAAGAATAGTTCAACCAAAATTGGTGGGTACTTTAGACCAAGTTAGGACATGATCCCCGAAGAGATCAATGTGTGCAATTGTTTAGTAGCTTATGTGACTTGGAATTCAAGGGTGCCCAGGACACAGAATCCAACGAGGGATTCCACAGGCTCTTTCCTCGCTTTTACTCTTCGTCAAGGGTCGTGGTTGAGGTCTGGTTTTTGCGTTGGGATGGCAAATAAAACCCATCCACTAACGACGGCCTTTCAGGTCAATTTGGTTGAACACAGATCTGGTCACCAGGAAATGCTCACGGAACTCGTTGGGTGCGCCTGGTGGCTTGGATTGGATTGGGGATTTTTGTGCCTGGTTCTTGTGGGCCAAAGGGAAGCCACCCCTCACCCAAGCCAACTCATTAGCTTGGCCCACCGCACTCCTGAGAAGCCACTTACATGCAAAGTCACAAGAAGACCTTCGATTGATGGCGGAAGTTGAACTAGGTGAACAGACAGAAAGTCACAAGGTTGAGAGGACGCTTGCAATGGTTGCAAGCTGTACTCCCGTAGTATCGTGGCAAAGGGAAGCCAGAAGGAAGCAAATCATCTGCTCATCCTTGCTGCGGCAGTTCGCAGGTCCTTTTCTTTGATGTTTGTTCTTACTCCAGGGGCCAGGCATGGGCTGGCAAGAAACGACCTGTGTGAAGGACAAACATTCCAAGGGCCAGGGCCAGAGCTGCCGCCGTAGGGCAAAGGTCGGGGCCGGGTGAAGCATGCTCCCCAAACACCCACCAGAAGCAGCCAACCTCCACTTATGTTTTGGTTTTGCTGCATGTACCTTTGTGAGCAATGCTTGGTTCCTGAACGGCAGCTTCCCTCAGAATGGGTATGTCCAAAACTAGGATAAGGGCCCTGGTAGTAGAATATGGGCAGCAGTGGCTTCTTTCAGCCTTTCAGCACCATCAAAAAGAAAGGGGTGGTCGGATTGAATCAAGAGACTCTGCGTGGCGGCACAGTTTGCTCAAGGCACCCTTGTCACTATCCAGGTGAATGACATTGGGTACACTCACTAAATGATTGTCACTACTGCAAGCTTAACTGGGCTTTGTTCCCAAAATCCGATGTGGCTAGTTTCTGTTTGTCAACGGAGAAGCCCTCAAACATGGCTGGCATATCCAACTACTTCAACCTCTTCAAAACGGTTGGACCATTCGCGCCCAGCCAGTTGGCCAGGATCCTGCGGAGCACGTGGCAACGTTGGCGCCGCAGGTGAGACGGGGATGGGGCTTTCCTCTAGGGTCGTGCTGGAGGCCGCCTTTCCCATGTGAGAGGGCAAAATTCCGTCCAGCAAAATTATCCTGTCATGATCTAAGCTGATTTTGCAGTGACCGTTAGCGGAGTCTTTGTCAGGCTATGGCCTTCGATGTCGGGTTGTCTCGCACCCCAGTGGAGGCCGACTTTTTGACATGAACCGCAGATCATGGCCCAGGCAAACACAAGGTAATTGCAGGGCAGGGAACTATGTAAGGTTAAATTCAGTTTTCTTTAACTTGGGCTGTAGGACATGCAGGCTTGGTCTAATTAGTTTCTTGGGGCGAGTACAAAGGTGACCTATTCCTTGCGTAGCCCAAGGGAAGGAGTTTGATCAACTTTGGTACCGTTTTTTTTTTTTTTTTTTTTTTTTTTTTTTTTTTTTTTTTTTTTTTTTTTTTTTTTTTTTTTTTTTTTTGGGGGGGGGGATAAAGTTTCCCTATACAAAACCAGCATCTGAGCAACTTGAGTTGACCTCACATGGCTTGGTTTTTCGTTGGCCTAGGGTGAAGGTTCCGCAGAATCGGTTCCCGCCTGGTGAAGCATTCGTTTTTCACTGAAGTGTTCCTCCCGGTTAACCCCGAGGAATGCCAGCTTCATGAGGATTGCCTTTGCGCATGACCAAAGCAAAAACGGTCCGACGGGGCACCAGGCGGGTAGCAAGCCTGCGAAAGGGGCTGTTTGTTCAGTATGGTATGGAGATTACTGCAGGTGCTGCGAGCACCCCACTCACACACCTTATTTGCCGGGCCCCAAGACTAGGCACCAACCAAAGCACCTTCGGTCCCCCCAAAACAGGGACCCCTCTTCGCCGAAAAACAAAGAAACAAAAAGAAAGAGAAAACAAAAAGTACAAAAACAAGAGATCTGCCCATGTTTTTCACGGCTGGACTCGCCGGCGGCTGGAGTCACATTGGCAGGTGGCCCAAATTCTGGCGGAGCGCAGCAGAGACACGGACCCCCGCTGCGCAGCCTCTGCTGTTCGCCAGCTGAGGCTTGATGCGGTTTGGGCTTGGGGGGAGGGCGTGCTATGGGAAATGTGACATCTAGTCATCGCAAAGTTCCACCCACAGCATGGCGGTTCGAAAGCCATCCGGCTCCTTAAGCTTTTGTTGTTGGTTAGTTTAGTGGTTTTGTTTCCATTTTCGCCACTAAGAAGTAAGTCTCTTTTAGGGGATCCGAGGACAGCCAATTTAACACCAACAGTTAACATCACAATTAGTCTCTTTTGGGAGGGGATCAGTTTGGACAGCCCAGCATAGTTGTGGGAAGTGGACCGTCCATTTCATGGCCGAAAATGATACAACATCGGGGCACAAACTTTTTTGGGGCACAGCGTTTACTTCCGTGTTGAGTCCCTTTGGGGCAAGTTCGCCAAGCAGCGACAAACCACAGGCTTTCCATTGCACATGCTTTGTAGCCGAACGGACACAAATTCAATATCCGCCCTGAAAATGTCAGCTGCCTATCTTATTTGCGAGCTCACCGACCTTGGGCACATCAAGGGTCCTTTCCTTGGAGGATCCTAGTTCTTATTTCAGGGCTTGCAGATATCAGTGATGCCAGTCTACACCCCAAGTCTAACTGCATCAGAACCCCGGGTAGATTCAGGTTAGGGATAGTCCCAACCAACCATAACTAGGTGCACCCGCTCATTAAAATCTTTACATGCTTTGCAGACGATTTCGATAGTTTTATCGTGATTCGTCAAAGCTTGCTGCTGCTCAGCAGGGAAGGAGAATTGGAAGGACCCTCATAAACCATCCAACTGGTGGTTTTCTTTCAGGGGACTCCTCGTTCATTCCCAGCTTACCTATCGCACCGATCGCCCAGGGAGGTTTTGTCGCAGGCGGGCCCCCCTGGCCGCACAGCTGTCGGACGCAGACTTCGCCGCGGTGGCGCGCCTTTCATTTCAGGCAGGGCGTCGGGGGTCGTCCGGAGCGCGGGATGGACCGGGTTGATGGGCCGGACCCTGGGACGGGGAAAGCCGGTTTTTGTGTTAGCTACCCCTTTTCCTACACTCATGGAAGCTGACAGGATTTGGACGACTACTTTCCTTTTTGGGGAAGCTTCCTGTCCACTTCGATGATTGTTTGGTATACGGTGGAGACGATGGGAATTGTGGAAACTGGGAGAAGCTGGGGGAAACTTGGTAAACATTGGGATTTGAGGGGATTTTGGAGAAGTTTGGGGAAACTTGTTGCAAAGACAGGCGGTGATGGGGTGGTACCGGTGGATGCCAACTTAATCTTGCAAGGGAACCTTACCTGCGCGAATTTTGCCGGTTGGGGCGGGGATGTGGTTGGATGCGATTGGTTTACTTGCAACACTTAGGGAATCTAAGTAGCAAAGCGGGTTGGCAAATCCAGGAAAGCCAACTGATGCCAGCAGCCAACAGGGCCCAACATGGTTCTGGGAAAAGTCAAACTGCCTAGTAGTGCATGCTCCATTTGGGATGGACTTGGGGGCACTCACTCAAGTTCCCGCAGAACACGGGAAGCACACAATATCGACCGTGCAGCAGATTGAATTGGAATGACCCCCAGCCTGGGTTCATTCAATCCCTCATTCCCTACTTTATTTTCAGGGCACTTTGGTACCATGCATTGTGACTCGTTGCACCTTGAGCTACGATGTGCCCTTTGAGTGGCCCAGAAGCACAGCCTCAGCTATACCAGTCCGCAAATCGACCCCTTTCCCCTTTTAGTTGCCCCATGTATTATAATATGGGTGCCCTCGCCGCGTTTTGAATTCTTTACTTGGTTCGGCTAGATCATTCTACTACCAGGAGTGGATTATGACCCCGTGCTGCCTTCCCGGCCAAATCGAGTTCGCTAGGAAGGCAGCTTGCTTCGCCTCGAGGCGGCACTCTTTGTAGAGGCTCGACCTCGAGCTTTTGAGGCTACCATTTTTCCTAGGTCCCCCAGTAGTGCCCTTTTACCCTTTTTTGGGGCAGGGTTCCCTACTAAGATAGACTACAGACAAAAAGGGTACCCTTATTCTCACCTCTCGACTGGAGGACCTAATTTCTGTGGTTGGTTTAAAAGGACGCCTCAAGCAAAGTCATTCTTTAGGTGCCTACTTTGAAATTTTGACACATACCCAATTTGTGTTTACCTCTCCCGCAGAATAGCACAGAACCCAGCACAAACACAAGTTATACAGGACTCTCCTTGCTATCAACTCCATTTTGGTGTTAATTTGCATGGGCACGACCGCGTGCTAAATAAACCAAGCTGTATATAGCACACCATGACAATGATTCAACCGGGAAACCAACAGAGGTCGGGCAATCTCGCATTTTGTCCTGACCCTTGTTAACACCCAGCTAAAAATCGAACGAGCCCAACGGAGGTGGCTTCGACACGAGTTAGCTGCATGTTTCCGGAAACAGTTTGGATGCGGCTTTTGCAGATCCCTGCAAGATCTGAGAAGAGAACTAATCACAAGAGTAATACAAGGTTACAACAGAGGGGAAGACCAGTTGGAATTTCTTGAAGTGCGTCCAAAGGATGATCTAGAGTATCTCCGATTTGGACTCTTTAATAAGATACAGGGGATTTCTCTCCGTCCAAAAGTGGCCAATCCGCGACAGATACAACTGCTGCAAAAATGCCATGGAACCTGAGAGAGTCTGAGAGATCAATGAAGGGTGTCCTTTTTACTCAAGGTGGAGTCGTAAAGGGCACTGTCGACACTCAAAACGAAGACTCGTTTCCCAAAGGACCGAAGGAGTCTCCTGAGCGTGAAACAGTGGGGTGGAATTTCGAGTGAGCAGCCTCCAGTGTGATGTTGAAATGGGACGCACGTAACCGCGTGCTTTGCGACGAGCGTTTCGCACGACATGTTGAGCGAGCTGAATTCACGACATTTGTCTCAAACTGGGGGGACCATCTGATCGGTCCTTTTATTTTCCTTAGCCACCCGAACAAGGTACCCTCGCAAAGACACGGCAAGAGGCATTAACAGGCTTCCGCCAGATTTTGTGCGGTTCTCTGATCTCACAGGAGCGACCCATTATTTCACATGTGCCAATAACACCATGCAGAGCTTATCAATAAAGCAAAAACGCGTGTTTTCGCGGAAGTCCAGGCGTGAGCTTTGTTCATGACCCAAAGCTGGCTGTGTGAAGTCAACTTCCGTGAGCTGCTGAGCATGTTTCAGCACCCATGCCTGTATGAGGAACGTTGAATCTTGATGAGGAACAGCCTCAGATCGCTCAGATATGGTTGGTGGTAGTAAATTCCCACCGAGATGATGTCCACCAGAGTGTCCCCCGAAGATTCATACCCACACCACAATAAGTATGTTGCATGGTGTCCCCAAGTGCGTGTTGCTCACGGTTTAAATCGTTTCCTAAAAAAGCAGGCATTTATGCGGTTGCGACCGGCCAGATCCCGGGAACAGGAGTGTAAGAGGTCTACATGTAGCCTCAAAAGTGAAGATAGAAGTCCACTGCAGGCACAATGGTGAGCACATCTAGATTTGGAGGAGTATTTTCGGTCATCCGGGTGCCGATCCAGGACCATAACAGGGCGGGCTTTAGGGAGATCAAATCTTGCCCCTTCATGGTAGGTGCAATGGCCCCGAACAGTCACTGATGGTTCTATGGTTCTTCCTCTTACTCTTTTGGCTTCAAATCAGCACATGATTTCACCGAATGCGAACAAATCCTCCCTATCTTGCTGGTGCTAACGACCCTTATAAACCATCCCTTGTGGTTTCCTTTAAGGGGACCCCTGGGTTTATTTTCACATTCCCTACCTATCGCACCAGCAATACAAAGAACATATATATATATATAATGTATTTTAGTGTATCCTCAGGCCACAAGTTTTTTGTTCCCCCCGAAAGCATGGCGAAGGGTTCTTCCGTTGGATTCACGGGAGCTATCATCATGAGAGTCATTGCAAAGAGTTATCATCAACGGAGCCATTGCACAGAGTCATTGCACAGTTTCTTGTCATGAGAGTCACTTGCGAGGAGCAATGCTCGAAGAGTCACTTGCGAGGCGCAATGCTCGTGAGAGTCACTTGCGAGGAGCAATGCTCGTGAGAGTCACTGGCGAGGAGCAATGCTCATGAGAGTCACTTGCGAGGAGCAATGCTCGTGAGACTCACTGGCGAGGAGCAATGCTCATGAGAGTTCTCAATGAGAGTTTTAAGTTCCTTTCTTCTCTTCTTAGGGCGGCGGGGTAGGGCCTACAGCGCTCTACGAAAATCAACCCTCTGCAGAGATCGGCGTGGTCGATGTGCAAAAACCGGGGGCTTTTTACGATTTCTGATCTGCGCGCGCGACCCTCTGCGGAGATTCGTGTGGTCGAGGTTCAAAAACCGAGGACTTTGTACGATTTCTGATCTGTGCGCGCGACCCTCTGCGGAGATCGGCGTGGTCGATGTTAAAAAACTGAGGACATTTTACGATTTCTGCGGCTCCCGCGCGACCCTTTGCGGAGATCGGCGTGGTCCGCTGCGGCGCCGTGCGAATTTGCAAAGTGCCCGATGAACCCTCTGCGGGGATCGTGCGTGTCGAAGCGCTCTCGCTGTGGTGCCGCTGCTCTCGGAGTCGCGCGGTCGCGGGTTCGATCCCCGCCCGGTCCGCGACAGCTTTTCTAGACAGGTCAGAAATCCCACACACTCCATGTTGGTCATATTTACTAACATTCAAATGTATGCCTCTCAGAGCAACATTGGCCTTATAAACCCCAATGTTCTTTCTCAGGCCAACGTTCGCGAATGTTGGCAAATAGCACCAACATTGGAGCGTCTGGGAATCGCAACTCCTTAAGTGCAAACGTAGTACGCGGAGGACACTCCCGCAGCTCCGGCTGGGCTCAAAAATCGTAACTTGTAAGCACAAACGTAGTACGCGGAGTACACTCCCGCAGCTCCGGCTGCAAAATCGCAACTTTTAAATACAAACGTAGTACGCGTGCCGCAGAAGGCTCCATTTTAAGGTCAAATGTTTTGTGGTATTGCACGCGCAGGCCAGGCTCATTTCATACATGGCTGTTTGTGTTTGCCTTGGTCACCAGCGCGGGTGCGTTAAACAGCTGAGGATTTTTGTACCATGCTTAATCTGCGCGCGCGACCCTCTGCTGAGATCGGTGTGGTCAATGTGAAAAAACAGTTCGCGCGCGACCCTCTGCGGAGATCCGCGTGGTCGATGTTAACAAGCTGATGTTTAAAAACTGAGAACTTTTTACGGTCTTTACACATGCCCGAGCGGCCCTCTGCGCAGATCGGCGTGGTCGAGGCGCTGTCGCTCTGGCGCCGTGCGAATTTGCAAAGTGCCCGATGAACCCTCTGCGGGGATTGCGCGTGTCGAAGCGCTCTCGCCGTGGCGCCGTGCGAACTTGTTGCTTGCGAACTGGTCTTTGGAAGTTGTCGCGTGGTTTGCGCGGCTGCTCTCGGAGTCGCGCGGTCGCGGGTTCGATTCCTGGTTGGTCCGCGGCAGCTTTTCTAGACAGAAGTCGCAACTTTTAAGTGCAAACGTCGTACGCGGAGCACAGGGCTGCATAATGGAACTTTTCAAGTAGAAAACTAGTATGCAAAGTTCTTCCCGAAAGCTCCGGCAGCACTTGCCAGAGCAACTTGCACAGAGCGCTTGCGCAGAGCAACCTGCGCAAAGCAACTTTCACAGAGCACTTGCACAGAGCAGCTAGCACAGGGCAACTTGGGCAGCGAGCAAAAGTCAGGTTGTTCCGTTGGTAGAATTGTTATCGTGAGAGTCATTGCACAGAGTGAACATGACAGCCATTGCATAGAGTCATCGCACAAGAGTCATTGAACGGAGTCATCACGAGAAGAGTCATCATGAGATTCATTGCACAGAGTTATCATTAGAGTCACTTGCGTTGTAGTCACTGTTTTGCATGAGGGCGGTGTATGTGTTATGTTTGACGTGCTTGGCAAACTCGTGTGAGGGTCCGATAGGTGGCAAGATAGCAGGATGAAGGTTAGTTGCTGGGACTTGTCGTTGCGCATTGCTTGTGACCAGGTCAGCAGTGCTATCTGAGCGCGAAGCAGCTAGACTCCAGGCAGGCGCGGCTCGTCATGGCCTGCCGTGGCTTGAAGCGGAAATCGCAGCCAAGCGCACGAAGCACATGGTCTGGGGCCTGCTTGCCGCGAAGCCGGAGGTCGCGAGCAACAAGCGAAAGTGAAGTGCTCCTCTTCTTCCAGAGCAGGAAACACCTTCGAAAGTGAAGTGCTCCTCTTGCTGTAGCTGATGGCTGTTTGTAGCTGACAGTGCACATCGAGCAAAAACTTGCGCGGGAATGATCACGGGGCTGTGATGCTTTCGGCCAACCGTGGTCTATTTTTTTTGAGGGTCATTCCCTCACTGCCTGCTGAGCACCGGCAAGTTGTCTTCCTTTTTCAGAAACTTTTCGGCCGCACCGCAAGCGCACGAGCGCTTGGCAGGAGCATTTGCTGCCGGAGCCAGGCTCGAGCGAAGGGCTGGCAGGAGTTATCCGAGATCCCAACTGAAGGATTCCAGTAAAAAACGGTGGAGGGACGAAATCCATTTCGCACCTCCTAAGAATCCCTGGAATGATGATTCCCCGGTCCTACTTATACAAATAAACAATGGTTTCCCATGGTTTCCAAGTGGTGCAGGATTTCGTCCATCCACAGTATCACCTGATTTAGAGGATCCCCTGAGGTTGATGTTTGGATGAACCCTGTCCCAAAACTCAGCATAGAACCGGGATCCTGCGTGACCAATTTCCTGCCCTCTGGTGAGTTCCATGTCTCGGGGCTAGAACTTCACTCGTGGTGTGTTCAGTTTCTTCCCCTTTAAACAACCCAAAGACCTCAACAAGTGTTTTGGTTGCCAAACTTTTCCGCGAACCCCTCAAACACACCACACCCCAAATGGGTGTGTGTTTTGTTGGGGTCCCCTTCAGGTGTTTTTCTGTTGGTCGAGGGAGCAGCAGAAGAGGAAATATCGAGGAATGGACTTTCGAATTCCCGATTTTGTGATGTGGGAACCTCTTAAACAGTGGATTATGGGCACGCCCACGTCCAGTCTAGGAACCAATGCGGCTCAAGCACAAACCGTTCTGGCGTTTTGTGTCTTTTGTTTTCTCGGCAGATGGTAAGGCTTGTGAAACATGGCCAGGCCTGGCTCGATCTGGAAGCCTACAATAAACACAGTGTCTGCGATCCCGTCGCAAGTTGGGCTATTGCCCCTCTAGATTTGCTGGATGTGAATTCCCTTTCTTGCGGATCTCCTTGTCGGCTCTCAAAACGCATTCTGTCGAGCAATCTCCTTGCGGGGCAACCCGAAAGTTGGATGTCTGCTACTAAAGTCCCCGGATGGGCTCTGAGTCACTATTGCCTTTTTTAAATAAGGCGCTAACAACAAGGTACACCCTTTGGCCCATGGAGGTCTGGTTTTCCGCCCTTGTTGTTTAGGCGGGTAAGGATCCAACTGCAGCCCTGGCGCATTCAATCTCTCTCGGTAGGCTTGGGGATCGCTCGCGCGAAGGCGCAGGACAGCGAAGCAATGGAACTTAGCCTGAATCTCTGATATGAATTTCTGCATGTGTGTGTGGGTGTTTGTGTGTTTGTGTGTTTGTGTGTTTTTGTGTCTCTTTGTTTCTGTGTTTCTGTGTGTGTGTGTGTGTGTGTGCGTGTGCGTGCGTGCGTGCATGCGTGCGTGCGTGTGTGTGTGTGTGTGTGTGTGTGTGTGTGTGTGTGTGTGTGTGTGTGTGTGTGTGTGTGTGTGTGTGTGTGTGTGTGTGTGTGTGTGTGTGTGTGTGTGTGTGTGTGTGTGTGTGTGTGTGTGTGTGTGTGTGTGTGTGTGTGTGTGTGTGTGTGTGTGTGTGTGTGTGTGTGTGTGTGTGTGTGTGTGTGTGTGTGTGTGTGTGTGTGTGTGTGTGTGTGTGTGTGTGTGCGTGTGTGTGTGTGCGGAGTGGCAGAATACCCTGTCACCACAATTTCTTACGCAGGGGGCGTGGCAGCCATCTTCCTAGCCACACCAACGAAGCTATGGAAGTTTGGCCGGAAGCGTTGAGGGACACCTCAATGCGTACCTGCAAGTGATTCTGAATGTATATTTGGCCCCCTTGGTTGCGGCGCTGTTTGTGCTTCTTGTTGCTTCTGTAACGTTTTCGATTCTACCGGAAAACCAAGCGTCTTGCGAGCCGAAACTCATCGTACTCGAGACTTATCAGTTGTTCTCGAGACTCATCAGTTGTACTCGAGACTCATCAGTTCTACTCGAGTCGCTCAGTTCTCTCCCTTGGGAGTTGAAGTGTGTGTGCGTGTGTGTGTGTGTGTTTGTGTGGTTGTGTGTGTGGTTGTGTGTGGTTGTGTGTGGTTGTGTGTGGTTGTTTGTGTGTGGTTGTGTGTGTGTGTTTGTGTGTGTGTTTGTGTGTGTTTTCTGTGTTTTTGTGTGTTTTTTGTGTGTTTTTTGTGTGTTTATTTTTTTTGTTGTTGTTTGTGTTTGTGTGTTTGTGTGTGTGGTTGTGTGTGTTTGTGTGTGTGTGTGTGCGTGTGTGTGTGTGTGTGTGTTTGTGTGTTTTTGTTTGTTTGTTTGTGCGTGTGTGTGTGTATGTTTGTGTGTATGTTCGTGTGTATGTTTTTGTGTTTTTGTGTGTGTTTGTGTGTGTGTGTTTGTGTGTGTGTGTGTGTTTGTGTGTGTGTGTGTTTGTGTGTGTGTGTTTGTGTGTTCGTGTGTTTTTGTGTTTTTGTGTGTGTGTGCTTGTGTGTTTGTGTGTTTGTGTGTCTGTGTTTTTTTTGTGTGTGTTTGTGTGTTTGTGTGTTTAGGTGTGTGTGTGTGTGGTGTGTGTGTGTGTGTGTGTTTGTGTGTTTGTGTGTTGGTGTGTTGGTGTGTTGGTGTGTTGGTGTGTTCGTGTGTTGGTGTGTTGATGTGTTCGTGTGTAATTGTGTTTTTGTGTTTTTGTGTTTTTGTGTTTGTGTGTGTTGTGTGTTTGTGTTTGTGTGTGTGTGTGTGTCTGTGCGTCTGTGTGTGTGTCTATGTGTCTGTGTGTCTGTGTGTGTGTGTGTTTGTGTGTCTGTGTGTTTCTGTGTCTATGTGTTTGTGTGTGTGTGTGTGTCTGTGTGTCTGTGTGTCTGTGTGTCTGTTTGTCTGTGTGTCTGTGTGTCTGTGTTTCTGTGTGTTTCTGTGTGTGTTTGTGTGTCTGTGTCTGTGCTGTGTGTCTGTGTGTGGCATGTGGAGTTGCTTTTGGTGTCACGACCCCTCGTGGCTCCTGCAAACGTGGTCATTTCGGCTCCCGTCAGCTTTGACAGCTCGGCACACCCGCTCAAGCGCTCCCGCTCAGCGCTGCACACACCTGCGAAGTGGTAAACGCAGTCGCTCACGCGCGCCTGCTCAGCCGACACCTGCCACACCTGCTCAGCACCGCGCACGTGCCTTCTAAGTCACAAGCGCTCCTCTCACGTGAGCCCGCTCAGCGCTGCACACACGCCTGCCAAGCGGCAAGCACACCCGCTCACGTGCACCCCCAAGCCTACTGCCGTTGTTACATGATTTTCTAGACATCCCCCCCCCCCTACCCCAACCCCCCCCTACCCCAACCCCCCCCGCCGCTGCTTTTTAGAATGTATACATGCATACATACATACATACCTACCTACCTACATACAACAAACAAATTGCCGGAAAGGAAGTAATGGCCACCAAAAGCCGAAAACCCAACAAACAACCAAAGAACTGCACAAACCAACCAGACCTGTTGCCTGCCTGGAAAACCTGGCCTACCCACCACCCGCTGGTGCGATGTTAAAATACATGCTGAGGATGGCTAGCGTAAAATACGTACATTCCGTGAACAAATGGTGTAAAATGTGACATTTTAGTGGACAAAAAGAAAAACGACAAAACAAATTACTCATTTCGATTCGGCACAGATCTCTGACTTCACGGACCACATGGTTTTAGGAATGGACACTTACAAAAAACATATCAAACAAAGATAAACATTGAGGCCCGAATTGGCATTACATTTCCTCAGTTGGGTTTGGTTGGCTTGGCCCTTTGAAGGGTTAAGCTCAGACCGTTGATGTGGTTTTGGCTCTGCCGGTTCGTTTGGAGAGACTACCACAGAGCCATTCCCAATCAATAACGTGACATGGTTGGACCCCCTTTGCCCTGTTTTGGCGGACTCATCTTTGCCCCAAAGAGGGGTCAAGAAGTACACACTGCCAACAAGTGAATAGACGTATTGTTATTTGTTTGGCCGGTCGCCGTTGTACTTCGTTAGCGCCTCGCACGCAGGATGCAGAGGACAATCTGGAGGGGCACTTCACGGCGGAGCGGCTCGGCGGAAAGTTTCAAGGGCTGAAGCAACCGACAAGTCTTTTTATACCTCCCGAGGCCCCAACATGGCAACTCCCAGGACCCCTGTAGAAGACTTAGCTCCGTTTACAGTGGCCATTTGGGAGCTTCCATATCAACATCAAAGAGGGCATATCTTCACTGGAATATGTAAATGACACCTGTTGGCAATGGTGTTGGATTTTCTTCTAGGTGATGTCTAATTAGGAAAGCTCGGGAACACTGACTGATCGCGAAAAGGACGCTCCTTCTTCTATGTGGGGTTTGGTGAAGGGGGTATTCTGAGTAAATTATAGCGAGGTCACCCGCCCTCACTGTGAATTCGACCAAATTAGTCATCCCGAAATAAGGGTCTTCCAGAAATTTTGTTGTGTCATGCCCGCCACCCACACTCGCTTGAATACTCAGTATTTCATGTGCTGAACCCCCCTCCCCCTCCATGTTTGCTCCGTGAAGCCGTTTCGTCACCCAGAATTCCACTTTGGGGGGGATCCAACCTCTTAAACACGGGGTATTTAAGGAGTTGCCTCCAGGAGCCCTTATTGATGGGGTTTCACCAGTTGCCGTGTTCCACGACTTAAGTTATTTCAGATCGACCTTTGAAATAACGAATTCGACCTAACGACCTAGGAAATATATTAATTCACCCAGAATATTATAAGACAGCACTTGATGGTTCTCAGCTAGTAATGAGGGACCATCCCGCTTGACATTTTTTTGTGGGCATCCCCTTCCGGTTCATTCCCAACACCCTGAAGGTCATTCCCTACTGAGCACCAGCAAGATTATTCCCCTAAGCTCGACTGATTCAGAGCCATTGCAAGGAGAACCATTGCAACCAGATGGTGCCTATGAGTGACGATTGATTGCCAACACCCTCCCAGCACTGCCTTAAGGCCTAAATCAATCTTGCACGAGCGGGTAATTTATGGCGGCTTCGGAGAATCCTGTCATGAGAATGGAACACTTGGTCAGGTTTGTTGTGTGGCTCAAAATTAAATAGCTACGCATACGCAGGTTTTAGTCCTTTCCATTTGCCAAGGATGCCATTTGGGGTTCCCATTTTTTTGGAGCCACCGCCATTTTCGGGAATATGTGCTATTTTCCTTTGCTGGTTTCAAAGGGGATCGATTTCACCAGACTGGCCATATTTTTGTTCATTTTCTCCAGCGGACTGAAGCAAATGGATGTTGGTCATTTCCTTTTTGGGGGGTTTTCTCATTTTCTCCCGGGGACGATAAAACAAATGGATGTTGGTCCTTTTTTTTGGGGGGGGGGTGTGCCGTAAATGTCCGAGACGCGACGTTGGTTCGCCTTAAGACCTAAACGCCGCGATAGACGCTTCGAGGCATGGGCTCATCGCCGTGGCGGACTTCCTCACGAGCTACCTGAAGGATATCTTTTAAAGGGGTCTTCTCAAAGGAAGCCCCTTCATTCCCAAATGAGCCACTGGCTCAAAGCCCGGCTAGATGAAGGTTAGTAAGGGCCAATCCCAGCCTTAAATAGCTGCGGATATCCGCCTTCTTAATTCTTGAAGCATGGTTCTGGGATTACGACCATTTTAATACCGGGTTTTGAGCAAGTGACTCAAATGGGTCTTTCTCAGGGCGGGTTGGCTCTTGCCCTTTCTGTGGTATCACAGTGGATTCCATTTCCCAACTAAGCAGTGCCCTTTCTAGCTTGCTGGGAATGAGACTTGGACTGAGCCCGAGAAAAAAATCCATTCCACAGGTTGTTTCCTTGAAGGTTGATTCCCTCATCTCACTTCCTGAGTTCATGATTTTAAACTTTTTGGGAAGACCATTTTAGTGGTAAACATAAAGTTTTTTGTTTGGGGGTAACATGGGCCAGTGAGTCCTTCCCTACCTCTCGCACCAAGTCGTATTGGCCTTAGGAAAGGAACCGCACCATTTGGAAACCATTTCTTTGCTTGGGCGATTTCGTTTTTGGAGGGTACGTGCCTTTATTTGGGTGGTTCTAAACTACATACGTTCCTAGGAAACAGTCAAATGACTGGTTTCGCAGTTTCCCTGCATAGGCTAGACTCGTATTTCGAGGGTGAGGCTCAGGTTAAAGCCGGCATAAACGGCGGTTGCGGTTGCGTCCCTGTTGAGAAGCAAACCCTTAGGAACTTGTTTCACAAGGTGTCAACGGGCAAGCCCTTGAGTTTCCAGATGTTTTGGCTGTGCATCTGCTTTTGGGCCGGTACTTCTTATCTATCGGCTTAAACCCAAAGCCATCATGCACCATTCTCTGCCTCTTTTTCGGCTTCATGCACCATGTTCAGCTTGGCAGGATGAGCACCTGCACCTCTCCGCACGGTTTGTGGAGGCGGAGTGAAGGGTGAAGGTCCTCGCTCAATCCAAAGTCAAATCCTGATCCAATGCAAGTCCTGCTGATTCATTCGAGGAGAAAACACATACTGGCTTCTTTCGGTTTTGCAGGTCGGAGCGGCGAGCGTGGTGGTTGTCCATAATTATCCTGGTAGCTGTCATGCAACGTCAATCCTGCCTACTTTTGAAAGCTCTTTCGTTGTTTGGTGTCCCCTCGAGAAAGCGTAGCCTGCTTGAATCTCTGCGTTTTTGAGGAGCGAGCAGTCTCTCAGTCTCAAGCAGGAATTTTAGACACACTGCATAGGGGGCATTCTTCCAGGCACCATGATGATCAAGGCCGACACCAGGACTTTTGACCGGCGCATGAGCAACGAGCAAAACAAGTAGCCCACTGTTGGCTTCCGGAGGACGATGGCCGCTGTGTGTGTTCAGTTGTTTAGACATGAGCCTTTCTTGCAGCTTGCAGCCTGCCCTGTCTGCTTTAGCCCATTGGTCCGTGAACAGAATTGTTTGCCTCAGCCACCAGCAAAAAGGCTGACTTTGGGAGGGGGTCAGAGACAAGATTCGACGCCCAACACACACAACCATGTGTGGTTGGCCTCAGGGAAAGCATCCGAAATGCAAACCCTGAGGCCGCATGATGCCAGGCAACAAGTAACCCCCTGCCTCCCGGTTCTCTCGGGTCCCTTGTGTTCCCTTTTGATGAATTCCAAAAGTAGCAGTTTGGACGGAACCGGCCGTAAGCTGCAACAGTTGAGTCGCAATACCATCAGCCATCGTTGATGGGGATGATAAGTCTTCCAGTTTACTGGCAATGTCCTCCCACAAAACCAGAGGCGTCCAATTGAAAAGGAAGGTGTTGCACAGTGGTTTGCTCGGAAGACCTTTGATGTTGCTCTCGTTCAAGACGGCGGAAGCCAATTCACTCGAGGCAAGACTCGCTGAAAAAGGGGTCCTTCCCCAATTCTTATCCTTCTTGGATGCTTTGTCCCAAGCATTCATAGGGTTTCATCCATTCCAACAGGATTTTGTCCATCCGCCTCTTCCAAGTCCAGGAGTTTGTCCATTACTCATCCATTCCAACAGGACTTTGTCCATAATATAGGGTTTTCTGCCAAATGGGTGTTCCAACCCCAGCCCGATGGATTTTCTCCATTCGAGCCACACTCAAAACCCGGGTAGATGAAGCTTCGTAAGGGTATAGCAAGGTTCGTAAGCTTAGTAAGGTTAGCAAGGTTCGTAAGGGTAGTAAGGCTACGGGTTAGTAAGGTGAGTAAGGGTTTTCTCCATTTGGTTCTCAAGGATTCTTACCTCTTAAAAACACAACTTTTCAACTATTTTTTGGTAACATGGGCTATATGTCTGTAAAAGATGAAAACTTCCCCAGGGCTTGGAGTTTTAAGGGGTAAGGAATTCTCGCAGGCGCTCTTCGGGCGCGCAGAGTGCTTTCAGCGCTTCAGCGCGTTGGCAGATCTCTGTGTGCTGGGGGAGGGCGCCGGTGCAGCACGGGCAGTGCCCTGCACCTCGAAGGCAAGAGGGGCAGCGGTGGTTTGTTCTTTGTTTTAAGAAAAAGAAGACACACAAACATAGAATAAACAACAAGAATCCGGGAGACCGTTCTTGGTTGTGTTTGAAGCGGGACCGGGTCCCTGCCAGGTTCCGTGTTTCTTGGTGGGAGAGTATTCCTGTGCCGATATTCCACGGCTAAAAAGCTATGAGGTCGATCGGCCCAGATAGGCAATAAGGGTTGGTCCAGCCGGCGGGGCAGGTTTATCTTTTTTTTTTTTCTCTCTCTCTCTCTCGCTCCTCTCTCCGTATCTCTCGCCTGGTTTTTTTTGTGTGTGTGTTGCTCTTTCTCTCTCTCTCTCTCTCTCTGAGATTATTGTTCTTTTGTCAGGTTATT